TCCAGGGGAAGGTTACTGCAAAATTCCTATTCCCTCCTGATCAGCTGGGACTTGAGAGGCAGAGAATAGATGGGGGCGGGACCAGTCAGGGGTGGTAATTACCAGTTCTCCAAACTACTCAAAATGTCCAAAACTGGTTAGAACCTGATGAATACCACCTCTAATTTACTCCGCTGTGATACAGTATGTGTAACATTAGAAATAGGGAAAAGAAATTATCCACCAGAAAGTCTCCCTTTCCAGTTCTGAGTTGGCTGAACTCAAAGTTTAGTGTCTACAAGAATGATTTGGCAGGTACCTCCCAAATTTGAAACAACTAGTGAAATGGTGGGACTGAGAAATAGTGCACTGAAATAATCTTCTCTCGCATGATTGTAGTGGCATGGAATATGCTACTCTTGTCTGATTACTATAAACACCCAAGTATTATTCTTCAGAGCACTGTTATTATATTTTCAGATGGCTTTGAATTCCTGGAAATTGTCAAGCAGGTTGCCAAAGACAATACTGATAATCCTGATCTAAGCATTGTCTGGATTGATCCTGATAATTTTCCTCTGGTAAGTAGCCCTATCTCCCAGCTGGTCCCTTCTCATTTTTTACACACTAATATTCATGTATTTGTAGAAGTACAGAGACATTCCATGTATAATAGAGAGCAAAGAATTGCAATCAATTGAATCTATTGTGTATTACTATCAAGAAAAAAATTCTATATATATTATATAAAAAGGAATACTAGACTACACACACACCAGTGGTGGGTTACGGATCCTGTTGCAACTGGTACGGTACAATGGGGCCGGGCGTCCACCACATGAACGAGCGCAGCACGTGCACACCTGTGTGCAGCACACGCATGTGTACTTATTGCCCGTGATACTCTGCGACACCTCCATGACATTCCAGCTGCTCAGCAGAGCGTTGTGCACGCACCGTATGCTCCATGCATGTATGCGGAAGCCCTGAATAGCTCAAATACAGGTAAGGAGCACGGGCAGGCGGGTGGGCCCTCCAGAGCACCATACAGGAAAGGCACCTGGTGCTCCCAGCAGGCACCGGTATGTCCATACCGGGGTGTACAGGTTGTATCCCACCACTGACACACACACACACACACACACACACACACACACACACACACACTTTCTAAGTATTCCTTTTTATATATAATTAGCATTAAAGAATTTTACATATGTAAAAGGTAAACATGAAATTATATAATGTAAGATTAAGAAAAGAAAAAATATAAGAAAAAATACAGATAGAAAAAAGGAAAATATATAAAGAAGTGACTTCTGATCTTCTTTACAGCAGTTACAAACTGATCCCTACTCCCTCTTTAAAATTACATGATTCCCTTCTACCCATATCATCCTTTTCTAATCAACTAATCCATAAATGACCAATTCATTTTTCCAGCCTTTCTCTTTAAAACTGTTTATTTCATCTTCATTT